ATACGTACAAAAACTCAAAAAGTGACATCATTGTACTGATGTTTCATAGCTAACAATAAGTTGATATATTTTTGAGATCTCTTGAAGATGGGACATTAACCCGAAAACTTTAGATATGTTAATGAATATTGTTTTATAACAATGTAAAGGAAATCCTTAGTATTGCTTTATTGTTAAGTTGTAAATTCTCTGATAATAATTAGTTATTATCATATTTAAATATAGTATTTTAAAATCCGATTATACAAAAAAAAAAAAAAATAAATAAATTAAAACAAATTTAGCGCTCCTAGTTGTCATTCTCTAAGTGATCACACTTCTCATTTATTTTAGTTGTTTTGCCCTTGAGACACCCCATTTTATTTAAATGAAAACTGAATTAAGGTTGATTCTAAAGTTTAGTGGTAAATAGTTTTATTTTATCCAGTGTCACCATTAAGCTCTGTTTTGTTTAATTATATTTTTAAGTTTCTTTTATTTTATTATGTTAGGGTCATAATTTATCAATAATCCTAGTAGTATATTCATGATATAATTTCATTTGCAAATACAAATACCCTCATTTTCAATAGCGATGAATTATTAGCTTTTTTAAAAATATGTTTGTGTTGCAATAAATTCTCTCATTTTGGCAAAGATTTAATATCGTCTAGCAAGAAAGAATAATGTCTTAGATTCGACATTTATGTCCTAAACGACATAATAAAATTATTGCTTTTGTTAATATAGTGGCATGTTTTAATTTTCTTATTGGGTATTCGAACTTAATTATGATTGGAAAAAGTAGTGAAGTGTCTATTTATGTTAAAATACTTTCCTTCCAAAAAGCAACAATGCTCTAGCCAACAATGGAAACAACTAACTCGCCACTGCCACCCTATGGCGTCCCTTCTATTACAGTACAACAGTTTAACAACGATCTGTTAATGGATGAATTAGATAATTTGGTAACTTGTTCATTTCAAATATTGTTTAATTATCCTGTTTATATAATCTCAGATTTGATTATTCAAGTAAACCTATTCATTTGATTTTATTAAATTCAGGCTTCAAATAAATGGACAGCTAGCTGACATCGACTACTGAAAAACTCTTAACTGATGTCGTAATTAATATAGTGCAGTAATTATAAGTCTTAATTTACTTTTAGCTTTTAAGAAAACAGACCATTCACAACATAACAGGTGTTCGGACTAGTAGTGTTTTGGAAGCAAGTGTAAAGGCATAACCTTCCAGAAATAAGAATTGATAGAAAAAATTTCTATCGTTGTTTTTCTATATTATTTCTAGCATTATTCGGTAATAATTTTTTACATAATTTGTAACAGTATATTTTACAGAGTGGTAGAGAATTGGATTTTTTTTCTTAAGATAGTTATTTGGACTATACCTGAAACTGATTATTTTTTATAAAAGTTTCCTTAGATCACTGGATATCCTTGGACCAACAAAACAAAAATAGTTTTGTTCAAGAATAACTAAATTATAACAACTTTAAAGCAAAATAATCTCTTAAGGTAAGCAGTAAAAAGATTTAAATTTCTGAATTTGGTTATAGTAGTATATAAGTATTCAACTGATTTTTGTGACTTTTTTTTCAGTAGCACGTCCTATTTAGAAATTCTCACGTTTGATTGGATTGAAATATTTACCAGGCCAATATGTCAGACAAAAATATGCCTAGGTCTTCTGTAAGTTTGATTTTTATAATATGAGCAGAAATAAGATAAAATCTTATGTTTGATAAGGGATTGGGATGTATGACTATGACCATCCAATTATCCACGTTTTCAATGCATGTTTATATTGATTATGTCTCGAAAATATTTACAAGGAAAAGTCGTTTTTAAATAAAAAATGTTAATTTAAATGAATAAATGCCAACTTATTGGTAAGTTCTGGAGTAAGCAACAATTGTTCCTTAACTACACACAAGTAACGGGCTACAAATTTGAAACATTAGTACACATGAAAATAATATGTTTCCCTCTTGACCGCACACTCAACAATCTCTTTGAAAAATGTTAAAAGTTACTCAATTAAATACTGCCTATTTGATAGGGTGATTAAGGTGCCTTATGACTCAATTGTTATTTATATTACAACAAAAAGTTAGAAGATCCAAAGTAAGAGATTGAATCAATGTTTATTTAGCCAATGGAGGGAGGTTGATTATATCAAGAATTTAAAAAAGTTTTTATGGTTATATTTTATATTATTGTATTGTTGAAAGAATTAATTTAAATTAAAATATATTTCATGTATAGGTAAGTGAAAGTAAAAAACTCTTAATTTTCATTTGTTTATAGGGTTATAAATAGTACAATTTTTTTCATTATATATATTTTTTAAACCTTTTGAAGCAAAATGTACCATCACCAAAAAAAAAAAAAATCCTAGTTTTACATTATTAAGTGAAGAGAAAATGATATGAGAAAATATTTTGTTTTGGTACTGAAGCTCTCTAAGAATAATGACAATGGCCAAAATTTGAGCACATTAGCCTAGCCAGACAACTACAAAATGGTACTTGTCAATTATCTGTAAGTAGTAATAATAATTACAGAAATAAATAATGGTTACATTGATACAGTAGTTTAATATGAAGTATGTGGTGGAATAAGAGTTATTTTAAGGAATTAGTGGATAAGGATTGACATAAAGAAATGTATAAAGAATTCCAAAAGGAGATATTATGAATGATAAAATTTCTGAATGAAGCAGTTTTATGGGAGGGAATATATAGGTAAATAGGTTGAGATCTATTATTTAGAGAATGAATAAGTCATAAGTATTTTCAAACTCTAATTATATTCCTGATGAAATGAGGTAAATGGAAGGGGTGCCCAACCCCACCTAAGAATCTATTTCTCCTCATCCCAAGATATTTTATTGCTCACATTTTCTTAAAAACAGAGCAAGCTAAGTTAGATTTAGAAAAAATCGTAGATCATATACAATTACACTTCATGCGGTATGTTCTATGTTTTCCCCTTGTCCCTTAGTCTGAAAATTCATAATCCCGTCGAAATTTGCCTCCCTCGAAAATTCAAAAACCCATCAAAATATGCCCACCTCAAAAATTTTTATGGCGCATCTTGTACCATGAAACCCCCTTCTGTGCACCCCTGGCAAATGGCAATGTTGAATAATTTTTGTCTGTCACGTTCTTATATTTTAGTTTTTTATTTTTGCTACAATTTAGTTCCCTCCATTTTTTTTACATTTTTCAACTCTTTAAAATTAATATTATACTAAGAGGACTAAATTGCATATTTTTTTAAAAATAAAAACTCAAATTTTTTTTTTTGAGCTTTTACCTTTTAGAATTTTAAAAATCATATCAAAATAAACAAAAAATATTTTGATAAATAATGGATCACAAACTTTATTATGATTGCTATAATTCACAATCATTTCCATTACAACTCTTTTCTTGAAAACTGCCTCAAGAAAGTGAAAATATAAGTTTATGGAGCAGTTTTGTTTATTTGCAGCAAGCTTTTGGAAACCAACTGTGAATGGAAAAACTGAAAATATTGTATTATATATGGTAAGTCAGGTCAAAATAATGAATGCCAATGAACTATGTTATGCTCTAATCTTTTTATTGTCAAAAAAGTTATTCAACTTTAATTTTTTTTATATGTTAATATTAGATATTATTAGTACTAGGGGGTACCGCCCAATTGCGGACCACCCCCTATTTTACAATTTATACTACTGTTCATTTAATTGTACTACTCGCAGCTAAAATGATATACATATAACAATAATTTACATGTATTCTGTATTTCCCATTGTATTATTTTTAATCAACATAAAATAAACGAAAAAAAACAACACAATTCGGTAAATTTTTTAATTTATTTAAAAATCTATATTATAAGTCCCGCATTCTTGTCAATTTATATAACTATAATTATTCCTATTGCCAATTTAATAATAAATTATAATAATGAAATAATATTCTTATTTTAACAATAAGGGAAAAATAATTCTGGGAATAAGAAGTGTGATGTCTTTGTTATGATCCGTCCTGCTTTGGATATGTAAAATTAAATATGACAAGGCCACTAAAAATTTTCTTATAGAATAGAGAGATTTTTTCTCTTCAGCAGAAATATAAGCTAACCATTTTAGAAGAGATGGAAAAGTAGTTTATCACTTTCAATAATATTTATTTATTTAGCAACCTTCACTATAAACTTCTAGAAAGAATGTAAGTATACATACACACCCTTTACAACTTTTCTCCATTCTCTATTAATAGTTGATAGTAATATAATAATCGTTAACCATTCCTTCATGCATTTCCTCTTACAAATGTTTGCCGAGTGGTCTTTATTTTCCTACATTCTTTTTGGCTAATGTTTTTTATCATATTCATTACATGTCCAAACCATATTTGGACCATATTAACTTTATGGTTTCAATGATTTAGAGCAAGTATGTTAACTTTTTTGTGGTTCGCATTTGTGGTTAGAAACATAGTGGCAGTAAACTGTGAAGTAAATAAATAAATATGGTTATATAAACAAAAATATTCACAATATAAAATACTATTCAAAGTAAAGTAAGTATAAAATAAACTCTAACTTAAAAAAAAAAAAAATAAAATAAATAAAACAAAAAGGTAGCATGTAATGAAATAGTACGAGTTTACAACTAAAATCATAATAAAAATATGTCGGCCAGGCTAGTAGGTTCAGTGGATATCTCACTGATAATATTTTAACACCAAAGTAATTTTTTATTTATTTCCTTAAAGTTTTCATTATTTCAACACTTTGCAGTTCACACATATACATAGCTTTGAGGGCACTTATGCACCCACAGACGCAAGGTTGAGAACCCCTAGTCAAGAGGATTTCTATTTTTGTTTTCTTTGCTGGAGTTTTAAAATGAACTTTCTGGAGATAGGAAGCATGTTTGCTTTTAAAATTCCATTTCTGTGACTTATTCAGCAAGTGCATCTATCAGTATTTTTAAAGTTAAAGTCATACCAACGATAATCTATATCTCCTCCATCTCTGTCTCAAACCATTTCTTTCTTCTAATGGGGATTGCCATTTGATGCAGGAAGCTTTCTGTTCTAGGATTCGTCTGAACCCAGAAGCCTGTATCTAAGATATGTAAATCGGTCACATCCTGTTCTATTCAATGAAGGATGGTTTTTTATGCTTGTCCGCAGTAATGGCTGAGTTCATCGTCAACTATCCTATAAATCTTTAGATGTCTATAGAAGTCTGCAGTGGCCTTTTTAGTATTTCAGTAATTAATTGGATTACCTTTCTATTTAAGCCTAGTAGGCACTTAATTCTAGAAGACAAAGGGCTTTTAATTAACTGTTTGGCTTTTCTGAGCTCAGTACATTCTCTCCACTACTCACCAGTTTTTTTAGCCCAGTACATTCTCTTAACTCCTCATCTGCTTTTTTCCTTGTCTGGTGAAGTGCTTTCCACTGTCATTTATGGTAACTCTCAATCTCTTAGCAGTAATGAATGCCTGAAACTCAGCAGATCATGCAGATCATTATTCACAACATCAATGTCATGAGTATATGCAAGCAATTGTATAGTTCTATTGAAAATTATGTTTGTGGTTTGCATTTCAGAATTTCAGACAAGTCTTTAAAGGGAAAGATTGAACAAGAACCCTGACAAAGCATCGCCATGTCTGAAACCATTCCTTGATGAGAAAGTAGTTTAATACGACACTTCACCTTGCACTCTCACAACACAAACTACTAATTTTTTGTATAGTTCTTCTCTATCAATACTATGGAAGACTTATTTAAAGTCCATAAAAAGTTGATTTGTTTGTCTTTTACATTCTCATTTCTCTTTCCATGATTGTCTGCAGATTAACAATCAGATCCATCACAGACTTCCTTTGCATAAATAAATCCACATTGGCCTCAACCAATCTCATATTCAACAACAGAGAGGAGTTGGTGAATTAGAATACTTGAGAATATTTGTATTTGCAGTTCAGTTGATCTCCTTTTTAATAAGCTGTGCATATGATTGTTTTTATTAAGTCGACTGGTTTAGTTTTTAACACCAGATAATGAAGATCTTGGAAAGTTCACTTCCCCATGTTTGAACAGTTCTGCAGGGAACTCATCAATTCCAGGATTTTTATAGTTTATAGTTTATAGTCAGTTGATTGGCTCCATAAACCAATGTTCTTATCTTAATTAGGTGGTTTTAGATCCTCTAAATGCTGTATAGTTCGTTAGGATTGCACATTGTGGATATTACAAGCAATCCTTAGTGTGGAGGAGAGAGCCACTGTCACTTATAAACATAGATGGTGATTGCTTGAATCGATTTCTGTTTCATTTAGAAGAATATTCTCGTGTCCTTTGTTCTGTGTTTCTTCATTTCAGATATTCTTTTCTTTCTGCAGAGTAATTTATTTTTATTACTTCTGCTATTTTTATATTTCTCTACTGTTCTTTGTTCATCTTCTTATCTGAAATCATGCCCCATTAGATGAGTCCTAGCCTGCTCAAACAAGGATTGCCAGTCCTCTCTATTGCATGCCACTGCCTTCCAATTTCTTAAACCAATCAGTTTTCTAGCTTGGGACGACCTGCTTGCCTTGTATCAAACAATCACTCTGACAACAATTTAAATGGGATATCACCTTGATCCATTCTAACAACATGACCAGCCCAGAGGAGTTGTATGAATTTGATGAAGCTAATGACATTGACTTCTTTATACATCACGTTTAATTAGGCATTTGTTCGTCTTCTCCAGGAGTTCTGCTCACACACACCTCTATATATTCTGCAGAGCTCTATCCTTTTGAATCTCAGAATAGTCATCATCCGTCATTCTGAGTCGTATGTAAGTATAGTCCTAATAAGCATTATATAGATTCTTGTTTTAGAGGATTTGGAAAACATGCTGATCCTTATATGCTTTTGGAGAACAAAGCATGTGCTGCTTGCAGAAAAAATGCGTTTCTTAATTTCTTCTTGCATATTATTTTTGTAATTGACTTGGGATAATCTAGTTATTAAATTATATTTAAGTTACAGAGAAAATTAGTGTCACAATAGTGTAATGACAAGTGAAAAACAAATATTGTGAAGTCTCTGTTCTGTTATTTAAATGTAATTAAGGATGTATAACATTATGTCGTTGTTTGTCTTATTTGAGAAGAATATAAAGTAAGTATTTAAAGAGAAAAATAATAAACTGTAATGAACTTATAGACTTATTGAATGGTGAAGATTGAAACTGTTCTGCTGAATAAACCAAAGAAAAATAACTATAAAATCAACAAAATTTATTTATTATAGTAAGAGAAGTTGGTTGAGGGATAAAATAAGTGAAGTACACAAACCATTGTTTATTTTCTTTGTTCTGATGTTTCAGTATAATTTTATCTCTTCATCAGGGCCATTTTATTATGAACAACTAAAACTTAGACTGAAACGTTGCCACAAAGAGAAGACATTTTTAATGTACTTTTTCTGACTGCAATCCCAACTAGCTTTTCTTACTACAAGTATCTACAATCAACAATTTTTCTAACAATAAAAATTACTTATTTTTTATTGTTTTGTCAATGTTGAGATTATTTAAATCATAGACTACTAGTAAACAGTTGTTTAAACCGTTTTTGCACACAGTTTTACATCATGCCAATATTTTTTTTTTTATTGTCAAATGTATTTGTAATGTATTTGTAATAAAGCACAAAAGATTTTAGATTCATAAATCCGATAATAATTACACATTATAAAATATCTAATTGTAACTGAAATGTACATATAAATATATATATATATATATATATATATATTATATATTTGTGGCACTTGGGGATTTCAAGTTGTATGTTTTAAACTTAATATTTTCTTTCTCTGATTATATGGCTGTTACAAACATGGAACACCCATCATTATAGATATTATATATACACATTGGCCCATAAGTAGAGGGAAATATTTACAAGGTTCATAGTAGACATCAAGATCTACAAAAAAATATCACATAAACAATTTTCGAATTTAGAGCAGAAAAGTAGGAAATTCAAGTTTTGTGTTCTTTTGCGTAAGTCATGTTTTTTTTTTAATAGGAAGCAATAACTAAAGAAATATTTAATCTAAGTAATTAACAATTGCTTCATTTTAAACTAGACAAAATTTACTTCAAACGAAAATAGAGTTTGTCATTGTTAAAACTATTTAAAGAGGAATATTGAGCGTACAAACACTGCTAAGTGCTGTTTAAAAAAAAGTCATAAATTATTTGTGATTTTTTTTATCACCCTTCAACCGTACTACATTTACCCCACTTTTAGAAAAACTTCCTCATTTAATGAGGTTTAAGTCCATATTAATTAAGTTGATTTATTGGAAACATTTTGAAATTTACCTAAAATTTTGTAAAGAAATGATGTGGTTTTCTATCCAGTCACCTAAAAGTACCCATGTTTTCAGCTAAAATAACGACAATTAACTGTTACAAAGCTTTTATTTCTTTTTTTTTTTTTTGTGATATGGAATGTATTGCAGTAAACATAATCGCCTAAAAACACATTTTATTTTATTTTATTTTTTTATCAGGCAGGGAACACAAGCCAGGCTTCTCCCTTCAACTATAGAAGGAAAAGCAGGAATCCAAGAGAGCCCTGTGCTACTCTCTCAACCTCATCACTGGTGCTAAAGCCAGTGGAGTTTGAGTGAGAGCGCTAGATTTAGGAATTGATGGGTATTCATAAGTGACAACCTCAATGTTTATAGCCCTAATATTTATGTTTTCATGAAAACAATTGAAGCAATAGGTTTCTTTATTTTAAACATCATTTTTAGGACTAGAAACAATGTAATGTCACTGATAAATATGGATCAATTACTATGACAGAAATCTGGGAAAAAAACACAATTTCATAACCACTTTACATCAAAAATATTTGAACAATCATTATTATAAAAATTTTAATTTTTATAAATAAAATATGTATTTATTCAATTATTTTTATTACAATACATCTCAGATCATAGAAAAACAAGAAATAAAAGCTTTGCAATTGTTAGTCATTTTTGCTGAAAACACGGGTACTTTTAGGAGACTGGATAGAGAATCACATAATTTATTTACACAACTCGAGGTGAATCTCAAAGAAATTCCAAGTAAACCTCAACTTAATTAATATGGACTTAAAACTTATGAATTGTTTGTAAATCACGAGGTTTGCTATCATTCCTATAAAATTTAGTTCCTCAAGAATTTAGTTGTTTATTTATTGAAGAGGATTTAGTTGGGGTGAGCAGTCACAAGTAAAAATAAATAAATCCTATTTATTTTTACTTTTCTCAATGTTTAGTAACTCTTTCTAACTTTAGTAACTTTTAGTTTAGTAACTTTTACGTTAAGTAACTTTAATTTTTAGTAACTTTTTTCCAATGTTTGGGAAAACCAAATAACTTTCACTAGTATTTTACATCTCAGCATTCTCATCTAGTATAATCCTAAAACTTGTTCATTTAGTTTTTACTGTTAATTTAGTGTTTATTGAAGTGATTCTTAATTTTCAAGTACAATTCAGTCTCTAGTTTCTCTGTACCTAGATTAGTTATAATATTTCAATAATAAATATGTATTATATTAATTGTTATTCATTTTAATGTTTGAAAATTATTTTAAAATTTTCTATAAACCTGTTATTCAATAAACAAAATAACCCTTCAATATTTTTAAAATTCATACATTGAGATAGAAACAAACTAAGCAACATATATGTAGACCAAATGCAACAAATCTCCCATCAACATTCTAAAAAAGATGCATTAATTAGAGACAGTACATCACTCTATAACATTCAAATACATGCTGAAGGAAGGGAGGGGGGTAACAAAAACAACTGAGGAAAATTATAATCAAACAAACTATTGATTAAAAGTTTAATTATAACCTTTTATCAGCTGCTCTTAGATTACCTTCTTTTCCCTTCATTATGTGCATTTGTTTGAATGTCATGGAGTGATGTACTGTACTGGCTCTTGTTTTTTTTTTTGAATTATTGAAAGATATGTTGTGTTTTGTTTGCATATATGTGATTTAGTTTTTTTCTGTCTCGATGATGCCTGAATTGGCGAGAAGTTGATGGGCTTGATTACATGCATATTAGATACTCAAAGCTTTGTGGTTGGATTCTCCAATTATATTCTAACAATAAATAGTGCTTTATTAGTAATGTTTGAAGCAAAACAAAAAAAATAAATCTTATTTTATTATTTTATCAATATTATAGTCCCAACAAATGATAATATCCATAGTAAAAGTTCACTAGGAGCTTAGGAACAAAGTATCTAAAGACATACCATTATAGTTAGCTGCAATTGAATTTAATTTGTATGGAGCTTGGATGGCAGCGTGGATTAAGACACTTGCAAACAGACATCAGCATACAAACCCAAAAGTTATGAGTTGAAATCCACATGCAATAATTAAAAAATGAATAATTAAATATATCTGCTCTTATTCCTCTAGTATGTGAGAGCCATCAGCTTACTTGAGGCGACTGACACTGACCAGTGATAGAAGTGATGATACCACTCAGTGTAACATAATCAAAATCACATATTGTTTTTCTAGGATGTAGAATACCTGCCCAGAAGACTGGCCATGTACAGTTTGCTTCAGGGAAAGATATCTGTCCTTGTGCCAGTCATTATCCATGAATCTAGACCGGTTTCGTCACTTTTCTTGAACCTGAGTGAGTTGGTGGGAAGGGACACTGTTTTATTGGCCACAAAAAGGAAACAGTTAGGGAGTTACAGGTAGTTTGCTCCTGCAGGGTCGAAATTATGATTACTTATTTGAGGTTGAGTAATATCCGCCAAGGGAACCTATATTCCTTCAAGCAATAAATCTCATTAATAAGACTACATCTTGTGGCTAAAGAACTGCATGATATGTTGCGCCAACCACGAAAAGAAAAAAATGCACATATACAAACACACCTGTACCATGTGCGCACATATTTTGGCCTCTCGAGCCATTTTTAAGATTCATGCACCGTTTCATAAAGAAAATTTTAAAATATGTCATTATAATATAATTCTTCAGATGATCATTCCCTTATTTCATCGAATGTTATTTTTATTTCTCCTTAGTAGAAGATATTAGGTCTGATTTCCATCTATAACACATTAATTTGGCCTGTTAATTTAAAAAAAAAAAAATGGCACCGAACCTAAAAAATATGACAAGAAAATTAGGTAATTATGTTTTATTTTTGTTGAGTAACTATTATTACCTCACTTTGCTTGTGATTTTGTTATATTTATTATTAGTTATATAATGTTTTGATCAGAGACTATTGCTGGTAATTTAAAAATAGTTAGGTAATGTTTTTTTTTTTATTTAAAATAAATTAAATTTCTTCCTCACCCCTATCAATACCTTACCACTATTATTCTTCCCAAAAATTTTCTGATAGGTGTGAGTGAAAAAATAAAGTTAAAAAAAATAAATAGTGAAATTTACACTTTAAAAAATTGAATTGTTTGATCATTGTCACCAAATTAAAATAAAATTAATAAATATTAACGTAATTAAAAATATTTTTAATTAAGATGACTGATTTTTGCTGTGTCCCATTTTTGTAGCCTGTCTCTAAGAGTTATTGGTTTTAAGTGTTTTTTTTTTTGTTTTTTTTAATGTTTGGTAGAAATATTTAATTATTCCTGATTAGTTCTTTCTGCTAAACCATAATTATTGATTTAAAAGTCCATCAGGGTGTTAAAGCATTCGACTATAAGCTATGTAGGAGAAGTTTTGACACTAAACAATAATAAACATATGTTTAGTGATAGTTTTTATTTTCAATTTGTTTTTTAAAACAACTAACCACCAATTAATATGATAAAAGTATTGTTCGGGAAAAAGCGTTCAAGTACAATAATCAATTATACAGAACAGATAAATTATTTTAAAATTTATATTACTCATATAAATATATTTAATGTCTTATTACATATAGAACCCAATATATATTTAATTATGAAATAAAAAGTTATTTAATTAATGGATATCATTATGATTATATGCATCATAATGATGCACAGCTACATTGATAATTAAACAGACTCTGGGATACTGCCTACATAAAGGGCATTAATTTGGGAGTATAATTAACAAAAACAGATGCTCCATTCAAATATTTTTATTTACAAAATAAATATGGATTGACAAATTTAATAATAAACACCATCATTTTTTTTTTAAAGGGATTACTACAAAATTACAAAAATTGTTATTAAAATTTATAAGAATATAAGTACGTAATGTTTAATGTGAATATTAGGTAAACATGATGCATTGATCAATCAATTCTTATTAAGTTTCAAAAACATAAATAAATTAGAAAATGTTATATTTTTCCACAGTTTTTCAATCCTTTTGAAAACTTTGGAGGGAGCCCAGTAAATGTTCAAACTTATGCTAGGTGATCCTCATGAACTAACTTCAAAGTTACAGTAATGAAATTATTTCATCCATTTTTATTTGAATTATGACCCTAACAAACTGAATTGGCCTTACAGCTGGTATATAAAATGTTGATCATTATTATTTAACTAAAATTTCTAGGAGAGAATCATAATAACATGCATTTCAGACTATAGCTGTAATATGTATTCTATCTATAAATCTTAGCCAGTTACTAAACTGATACTGTTTCCTCACTCATTTTCTTCTGCTTGGTCATCAGTTACAAACCATATACGTTTTTTTTTATACATAGTCCAATTAAATATATTCAACTAATTGCGAATGATTAGATTTTTCTCCTGAATGTTCAACTTCTCTACAATTTTCTTAAAAACAGAGTTAGTTGAATTAATCACCTAAATAACTAAAAATAATATAAATTTTAAACTGTAAACATATCATTTTTTTATATATTCCTTTTCTTTTTCTTTCACCCGTTACATGGCCATTTTTGGCGTGTGGTGAGAGGGAGAGGGGCTATTTTAAAATTATAACCAAAGCTTTTCTAACCAGAGTGGGAAGATCAAGATTCATCCCGTGGGTCCCTATGAAATTGATTTCAACCCGCCTAGTATGGCGAACTTACCATTGCTAGACTTGGTAAAGCGGTCATGCTTTAATATACTCGGCCGCAGCAATTTCCGACTTCTTATATATTTATGCTTTTTATATTTTATATTTTATTTTTATTAATAAATCTTTTCGATTTACCTCAACAATCTCATCGCCGACTTGGAGGGTTCCTTGGGTGCTTCGGTAGACGACTGTGGACGGGTTGAGACCGCAGATGAGGACAGCCATCTTGGTACGGTCCTTGTGGCCAGCAAGAGAGATCCCCAATCCTTGGGGACCTCTCTCAAGCTCAGCCACGATTGCCATCCTCCCATACTTCTTTCTCACCTTTTCTGTAACAAAGATGAGAAAAGTTTATTGAAAATTGAAAATTATCGAGGAAAGGACCAAAAGACAAGATAAATAGAATAGTTACTCCTCGAAAATAATAATTAAAAAAATAAAACTGGAGGTAAGGATTAATCAGGTGGAGCGGGCTCAGCTTTCCAACTCTTTGGGAATCAGAGGTATTTCAGTGAAAATCGGAGAAACTGCTGAGGGCGTGGTCTGCTCAGAAGGTGCGAATCTGGAAATTATGCTCGGTACCGAAGATTTGGACATAGTGGAGAGAAGAAAATCCAAAACAAAAAACCCTCGCTCACCGTAAATTATAGTGAGCTTCGTCCATCAGACCTTTTGCGACGAGGTAAAAAGAGATCTCACTACATGTCACCTTGGATGGGAGAATGATGAAGACATACGTTGCTGAAGCTTTGTCACCTGGAAACAAACATTTTTATTGGTTTGCTAGACAGAAGAGGTCGGCAGGCAAATCCAAATATGTCTGGTTTGCAAGAGGACGTGCCCGTTGCCGACGTGAAGATGGTCAACCGGTATTCATCATAAATAAAGTAGATCTTGATGTATACCAATGACTTATTTTAAATCGTTACGACAAACATATTAATTTATTTTCCTTATGTTATTTATTTTGTTATATTTACTCCACATATTCGCTATATAATACAGGAGTCTGGCCAGAGACAGCTGTACACATTGCTATTACTCTCTTATATCATCAATTGTTTCTGTAAAATTTTAATCTTCAGTACAGTTCATTATAGTTGAGTTTATTTTTCTTTTAAAACAGTATTAGTATTCACTGTAATTAGTGTAATATATTCACTTTTATCTACTTACAGAAAGTGTCGTGAATGTAATTGAGTTCTAGGAGCTACGAGAGACTAAATCCTTACGGCATTAGACAACACTATTTACTGCTTTCATCAAAACAACTCTCTCGGTATTTATCTATATCTTAATTGATCTATTTTAATTAAATATGGTGCAGTGTAATATTTGCTATAACACTATTGAACGCGAAGACAAAAACAATCATTGTTGTGTAAAATAAAAAATTATTTTTTACCGTAGGTGTCTCAATTTAAATGCAAAAGAAATTGAAGAATTAAAATCACACAAAAACATGAGTATGCCCTAATTGTGACAAGGCCAAAACACCCAACACTGAGCCGTCTGCCTCAGAAATGCTTGCGGCAGTAAATCGCTTAGACTCGAGTGTCAATGAAGACATAAAAAACATGAAATCAGCCCTCGATAAATATCGAAAGCTCAGTTTTGAGCTTAACGAAAAATTGTCGAAAATTGAGAAACACCTTGAAAGTCAAGCCAGTCATTTCGAAGAAATTATTCTGGAAAACAAAGTCCTCAATCTCGAGTGGGCGTCCTGGAGGTCCGCCTGAACAATGAAGAACAGGGCTTATTATCCAGATCCCTAGGGGATCCCTAGAGGAATACCGGAACAAGCGGGCGAAACGCCTACCACGCTCGTGTCCAGCATGGGAGCAGGTTTGGGCATCAGGCTTAGTGCAGATAACCTGGACATAGTACATCGCAGCAGAAGCAGAAAATATGACCCGCGACTTCAGCCTCTCATCGAGCGCTTTGTCAAACAGTCAGTCAGTGACGACTTAATAACAAAGAGGAAAGTCAAGATGGACCTCACTATTCGAGATATCGGTTGGCAGGGGAATCACTGCCTCCGGATATATCTGAGTGAGGAAATGACTTCCACGAACAGACACTTATATTGGCTTGTCCGACAGAAGAGAGCTGCGGGGAAAATGAAAAATACGTGGTTTGCCGCCGGAAAGGTGCGATGTCGGAGGTAGGATGGGCATAAAGTTATTCTGATTTAACAGCTCTCGGACCTCGATATATTTGTCTGACTACATAGAATTCGTCTACTCCTCATCCTCATCAAAATAACTTTGTACTCAATTATCTACAAAGGAACATTTTCGCTTCTACGCATAGAGATATCTCTTCACATTCTCGCACTAATCTGCTTACATTTTCTTCTCTGCTATTTTCATTAATTGTAAACGCCTTTTTGTATTTTCTATTTGTTTTAGAGTTTCTCTACCAAACTCTGACTGTTTCTCTCCCAATTCCTCTCATGTATAGTACCCTAATCACCTGTCATGTTAACTCTCAATCCCTCCCTGCCCACTATGACGAATTCCTGCAGTATTTCACTCAAATCTTTTGTCATATTATCGCAATCTCCGAAACTTGGCTTAAATCTTACATCCCATCTTCTTCTGTTTCCTTGCCTAATACCACCCCCTCCTTCATGACCGGGTTAGCCGGAATGGCGGAGAAGTAGCCATGTTTGTCCATAATAGCCTCAAGACCCGAATCCTCGATTCCTCACCACCCTCCGATCATCCACAAGTTGAATACCTTCTAGTAGAAATCCATTGTGAGGATCTTCCTCTTATTTACATTGTGGTATATCTGCCTCCCCTTGTTCCATTTGGTCAGTCCTTTGAATCAACCCTATTCAATTTTGTTCCTCTATATCCCAGAATAATAATCTCCGGTGACCTCAATACCAATTTCCTCTCTAACTCCAATGACAAATCCTATCTGGAAAACCTAATTTTCTCTCTGCACCTCTTCATCGTTCCATTTTCCCCCACCCACCATACTAGCAGGTCCGACACTTGGCTAGGCTTCTACATTATAGACTCTGCACAAAACCTCCTCTCCTCTTCAGACTGCCAGTATCCTTTCTATCATCTCACGATCTGATACAGATAACATATAATATCCGAACTTCTTCAATCTATCCTTTAACTATCACCTTCCCTCATCTAGATACCCTTACTTGAGAAAAAATATTACCTAACCTAGAAACCCTAGATTGGAATGGATTATATTCTTGCTCTTCTATCGACTCCATGGTTGACATTCTTCAAATTCAAAGCCCCTTGAAAGGTTTATGCAATCCAAAGTCTCCAAGTTCCTTAAAAAGTGAAAAGTCCAACCAATTAGATCCTCTTCGATCTGGTTTCCGTCCCGGCTATTCCACACAATCTGCCTTAATTAAATTTAGTAGCGACATTCAAGCTGCAATAGATGATAGAAAATTAATTGTCCTTATACTTCTTGACTTCTCCAAAGCCTTCGATACCATTAACCATTCCATCCTCTTCAACAAACTAAAATTATGATCTTTCTCTAATAGTTCCATCTTTTGGTTCCAATCTTTCCTCTCCCAATGCACCCAAGCAGTCTCCATACCCAATCAACTACTATGTGGCTACCTTCCTTTATCCTCTGGAGTTGCCCATGGTTCAAGCATATCTCCTCCCCTTTTCAGCTCCTATATTAACGACCTACATAATTCAATTCTCCATTGTTCCCACCACCTTTATGCAGACGATTCCGAGATCTATCTATCCTTTTCTTCATCTCAGTTATTGGTAGCATTTGCACACTTTCAAGAAGACCTTGATCGAATCGATGCCTGGGCAAATGTAAATGGATTAAGGTTAAATGCTACCAAAACTCAGGCCATTGTCATTGGTTCCAAGCCCCTTATTAGATCCCATGCCGACTTTCCCATATTACACCTTAATGGCCATCCAATTTCCTTCTACCCCTCTGTTAAATATTTAGGATTTTTCATAGGTCAAACCCGTTCCTGGAACTACCATATTTCTCACATTTCCCGACGAACAATTTCTATCCTTAAACTTTTCATCGCTTCCGCATTGTCCTACCTCAACATACCCGTAGACTCCAAATTTCCTCTCTCATCTTCCCCAACTTCGACTACAGCTGTGTTGTGTATGATGGCCTCTCGGTGGAGCTCCGTGATATACTGAAAAGGTTAATGAATAGCTGCGTAAGATTTGTTAGTGGTGCCCCGAGATACTCCCATGTCTCTCACCATTACACTGAGTTAAGGTGGCTCTTTCCCTCCTTTCGAAAACAATATTTCCTAGATTCGTTCCTTTATCAAATTATCAACAATCGTCGTCCTTCTTACGCCTACAACCTTCTCAAATTTAAGTCCTCAGTCTATTCCCTTTCAACAAGATCTCGACCTTCTGACCTCTATATCCCTTCTCACAGATCTGCCTCATTTCAAAACTCCTTTATTGCTCGCGTTGTCAATTTGTGGAATTCCCTACCTATCAAAATTCGGCATTCCCCTTCCATATCCACATTCAAAACCCTCCTATTCCAATTCCTATCACAAAAACAGTCAGATGCTTGCTAAGCTTTTGATATTATAAATTTTTATTATATCATTCATCATCAAATGATAGTACTATTCCATACTGTAAACATCACTAGGGATTTCACAATATCTTCCTACTCTCAATGCCACTGAATACAACCATTGTTTGTTTTTGTATTCTTATACAAATGAATTTGTACTTATAGTTACAATAAGATAACGATGTGTTTAGATATTATTTATTATTTAAATACTCTGACATTTTATATTGTCAGATCCCTCTTTTCTTTATTAGTAGAAACACAGCTTATTTTAAAGAAGAACTCAATGTATTTTCTGTTATTTTATTTCTCAAAAGTGTATAATTATAATTTTTCCTACTGTACATAGTTTTAAGTGTTTTGTGTATATATATATATATATATATATATATATATATATATATATATATATATATATATATTTTGTATTTAGCTTGTTTAACTAATATTGTCTTTACTTTCTCTTTTTTATTATAGTTTTATTTTGGCCAGATGTAGTCTTTTAATTATGTACTATTCTGTTACTCTAAAGGGCCTTTGTCCCAGAGTAAAGTTATTTTCTATTTCTATTTCTATAATCGTAAATTTACAATCTTAGATTGATAATATTTCCTTTTGGTTATAATCATATTCTTAGGAAATATTGTATATTTACTCTGTAGCAAACTATTCCTTGTACTTAATACTGATTTCTGGTAGACAATATGCTTTCTCGTCTTCGTTAATTATCT